CTCCCCCCGGTTACTAAAAAAAACCGCCCCCATATAGCAAAGTCCGTGCATGATGTGTGGTCACCTGTGCATTCTCTGAAACGGAAAAGTTCTGCAGTTTTCCTTCTTGAAAAGTCTAGATGATGCATCCTGTCGTAAACCCAGTTCTGAGTCCTCAGGGCAAGTAACACGGGTGGAAAATTCTCACTGAGCACAACTGTGCAGTTTACAGCTTTACTTTCGCCTTGGCAGGATGTTTCCTGAGCTTACCACCTGGATTGTGAATCTTTTACCTATGTTTTCTTCTGTTCCTTTGATATCTGGAAACTGTGAGAAGTTTTCCTGATTGCCTCTTCTTTGTTTTCTTACTTTCCCATGTGAGTTCTTCAGTAACTGTTTTTGGCATTTCATCTTCTTCATGATTTAATGAATGACAAAAATTGTGTGCAAGAATTCAAAAACCTGATCCTAGTTTCTCCAAACACTCAGCCTCTGATTCTAAAAGAGGACGTTTCAGTTGTGAGGTGAAGATAAACTGCGCTTTTTAGGATGTGATCTCCAGTATTTGACTTCACATACAGACAAAGAAATATTTTTTCCAACACCAATTCTGCCACTCGCTATTTTTAATTTCTTTCAAATTTTTAATCTTTATCATTATGTTGTGTCTGGATGCTTTCATACAACCTGATGGCGCTCCATTTGCTGTCTTGCTATGGATTTATCATTCCATCTTACTTAAGTTTGCAATGCAAGTTCAGAGTGATTACCACTTCGTCTTTGCCTGCATTCTGCATCATCACTTGAAAACATTGAAGTAAAACTAACAATGACGTTTGAGAGCTCTGAAGTTCCTTTCCACCACTGCTTCAATCAAAGGAAAGCAGCTCAGTCTTCCTAGACAGTTTTATGCTGAGTTACATGATTAGAAACACAAGTGACGTTTTAGGGCAAGAAAGGAACCTGTCAGGCAAGAATGACTTTCAAAAACTGTTCTGAAGCAGGTGGGTGGCTGGAAAGAAAGGAAAAGAATCAAAAAGAAAACAAAGCCCACAAACTTTTAGGTAAATATGTCCCTTGAAGGCATCCTTGCCTAGTCTACCTCTCCAAAGCTGCGACTCCGGGGCACAGCCACAGTGGAGCATTATTATTTGCAATCTTTCAGCTACCAGGCCCACCTGTTCATTACTAATTTCATTTAGAAAGCCAATGCAAAAACAGTGACTGATGATCTAACACTCTTGAAAATATTTTATCTAGCAATAAAAGCATCACACTATTTTTGCCTAAGTAAGTAAACCACAAGGGAAATCCACAATGTAGACAAATGGAAAACAGTAAAGATGAGTAGATTTTTTTTTTTAATTTGGTGAATTTCATTAACAAGTACATTTTTATATCTCAGAATTAAAGGGAGAAGACTAGAAATGTACTATAGCTGCTTTGATAGAATGTTTCGCTGATAACCACACATAGAACATTCCTATTAGTGGACTATGTCCCCTTACAAATACTGCAACAAACTCTTAACATAAAACAGTTCAACATAATTCTTCAATGTCTTTTTAATCACACTTAAACTATGGAAATATTGTTCCATTGTGATTTTCTATCTATCCTATCTATTTTCTTCTCAAAGCCTGACTCAGGGACAGTACTTGTCAATGCGCCTAATTTTAAGTATGATCTCACATCATAAACATAGTTCCAATAGACATTGAATGCTTTTAGATTTCAATAGGCAGTGAACCTTTTGGGGGCTCAATACATACCAGAATAGGACTATTTTCCTGACTTAGGGGGTTAACGTTTTTTTTTTCCAAGCATTTACCTCATTCATCTAATAAGATGATCATTGATGTGATTATGTGGTGACCTAGCAGACAGGTATCTGCTCCGGATTGGCCTGCCAATATGTGCCACTGGTCTTATCCTTCGGAGCAGTTCCAGTAAGTTACTGAAAACTCTCCATGGTACTTCAGCACACTACCACACAGCTTTCTTCATCTAGAAATTCTCATAACTACCCATTTTTATTGCTACCTCTCCAGGGTAGATGCCATGTACTTGTATATCAATAGAAAATACCTTCTAAAAATAAGCACAACAGGAAAAGATTATGTGCAAAGGGAGGTATTTTTCAACAGGGAAAAAGAAGAAAATGAAAAGAAAAAAATTCCAAATGAAGAAAAGAAAAAAGCAGGGACCAAGAATCAGCTAGCAAAACCATCATACCAGCTGCCACCTAGAATGGCTTGTTTTACAACAAAATTTGTCCCACTTATGTGTAGGTTTCTCTGGTAAAAGGGAAAAGCAGCAATTGCTAACCTTAATGTCCTTACCTAAAAAAAAAAAAAAAAAAGTAAACAAATGAAGATAAATCTTACCATGGAAGATTAAATAAACCATGGTAAAAATTTCCATCGGGCAGTTTCAATTTATGAATTACATTTCACAACACAACTTCAGTGACGAATGACCAGCGACGGGGATTACTTCAGAGGATTATTTCTTACCCGACTTGTTCTTGCACTCGATATCGTAGCCGGTGATTGGGCTGTTTCCATCGAATCCCATGGTCCATCTGAGGGCAATACTGCGCGCTCGCACCTCTCGGATTTCTATTTCAGGAGGGTCGGGGGGCTCTGAGTAAACACACACACATGGTTTTAGACAGAAGAAAGCCTGTACTCATAACGAGATAACATTAATGAGCGTGGCACTGACATAGCGTACTGGTGGTAAGCTCTCATGGCATTTTCTCTGGTCACTCATTAGTACCCTGAGCCAGTTAATCACCTGCTGAAGAATACTCAATAGAGGGAGGAAAGGTTACTTTTCATCTAGAAGTCACTGATGTAATCTTGAATACTGACTTCTGCTTAACCTTCTTATACGCAACATAACGTTGCATTTCCTTAAAAGCACTCTACATTGGACTACTCATGCTAGAAAAGATTTTTGCCTTGAACATCACATTTCTCTGATACTTCTACAGTTTTTACGCAAAAGGTGGTGGCAGAAATATGAACACTAAACCTAAAAGTGCTAAATTTTTTGGAGGAAGGCACTGAAATTTCTCTTTCAGTATGTTTAAAAGTCTTCATTTAATAAAAGAACAATTTGATAACAGTTTAAAATTACACTAAAGCCTCTTTCTGCCTCTAGAGTTAAGGATGTAAATAAACAGCATTTATATCGTTCTAATGCCCCTTAAATTGTCACAGCAGTTTAAACGAGCAGCGATGTAACTGAGAACCTGCCCCAAACTCCACCTGAGTTTTTCAACAGGGCTGCCTTAGGCATTCACTGACATCTTCAGTTACCTGAAATGAAGAGTGGGGAGAAAGAAATTTGCAAGTCCTAGAAATTTGTTGTGTGCATGCTGAAAGGCACCCAAGCATCAGAACAAGCACGGCAAAGAAATAAGCAGGGGCCAGTGGCTGAGCCCTGTCTATGCTCTGCATCTCAAATACTGTCACCTCAGCCACCCCAGGACTTGCTGCCCGTCTGGTGGAGCGACACCCTGCGGGAGGGGAACCTCAGCCCCAGGCAGCACAGGTTCCTAGAGTTTGCACTGTGCAAACTGATTACAATTTATTTTGACTGATTAAACTTGAACTATTTTGTTTAAAGATCCACACTAGATGTAACATTTCTTCAGAGATAAAGTCAGATCGCTTTTTCTTTATTTCAGACTTGGCTTTTAAGCACATTTGTTCCTTATAAACAAATGCAACCTTCTACCTGTCCCCCCTAAAAGTAACCCCCTCATATCCACTGTCCCAACTGAAGATGACAGTTTTAAGTTTCTTTAGTAGATTGGCAGCTAGTGTATTTAAGACAAATTCTCCTTATTAATTTGTACAGATCTAGAAAGACTCAAGCTTATCATTAATTTTGACTGAATCTATGATGCTGGAAAATGAAAGACTGAGCATCTTAATGTGGCTCCTCATTTCTTTGACAATGAGGAATGCGTTTAATTAGGACTCAGAGCCTCCCTCCCCCAACACATCTCTGAGGACGGCATACACTTACTGTACTACAATAGCTGTGTTTTTTTCCTTATGTTGTCCTCTTCCTACCTTGCACAGTGAGCTGAATTATTCCACGATCCTCCCCATAAGAATTGATGGCATGGCAGGAAAAGAAGCCAGAATCTTCACGCACAGTTGGCAAAATCTATAGGTGGTTTGAAAAGAAGTGATTGATTGAACAGCATGCAGAGAAAATAAACCAACAGCTCTTCTGTATGGTGTAAGAAAAATTGTACAAACTGTTTTACTTGACAGTAATAAATAGATACTGCATGTTATACACATACATACATATGCATAGTAAAGCATCCAAGATACTGAGACTTATCCAAAACTAGTAACACCTGGGTTGAGGAAGCAGGCTATCAGCTCTGCATGTGTAGTCAGGAGTTGGAGCACCACCTACTCCTGCAGCTTCACATTAGGAATCTTGTTTCCTATTGCTCATAAGTTTGCCAAGTATTTAGCAGTTGGCTGAAATTTTCCATACAGAATGGGGCCTCCTGCTGCCTCCAATTTTTTCCAGTTATTTCTGAAAATAACTCAAGTGGCTGAAGTCTGTGTGGAGGAAATAAAGGTTCAAACACTGGTGGTGAACCCTGTAGTATTCAGCATGGTGCCTCATAATAAAATTTTAGGTGGTCTTTCTTTTCAATTTGTTATTTAATAACATGGAAAGTTATACATAGTCTTTACATACATGTTTATAATGATATTTTTTCTACAGGACCACTGCTTCATTCAATGTACAACAGGGAGAGGTTTTTTTTAAATGAGCAGACATTCCAAATACCATTTTCTTCTCATTGTTCAGTGTGCTGCTCCACACTTTATTTACTGCACACAGTTCAAACTGTGCCCTGAAGACAGACTTATTCATTTTCTCACAGCCTTTACTGTGGTATTCACCTATGCAATACGCATTTCAGAAACATGAGTGAATTTATTTTCATAAACCCTGACATCATGAAGAGCATTACCACCACTTTGTATGGGAAATTAAGGAACCAGACATATGACAATGTTTGTGGCTGCTTGACAAGTTGCTGCCTATTAGCTGAGCCATGGTAACTCCACCTGCTCTTCATTCCTCAGCAAAGCCAAGGTAATATGAGCACAACTCTCATTCAGCACTGGTTCAGATAAATGGATTAATTTCCCATTCGCTACAAGGATATTGGAGAGTTATCCTCTGAGCTGTGGTAACTTGTCAAGCTGTGTTAAGTTGCGCATGTGGCTGGGCTTTAAGACAGAAAAACAAAAAAAATCAGAGCCCAATTTGATACATCTAGGGCCTTCTTTCCCCCCCTCAGAGTCCTTAGCAATAAATAGCATTTCATGTGTTCATAACAGCTTCCATTGAGTTAAGCTGCAGCTATGAGGGCTTAGTACTTCTGCAAATCAGACCCCAAGGGCTCAAGGCAAGTACCTAGAAAACAAAGAACACACAATTATTGGCCACCTGTGAAAAGTTTGGTTTCAATGATCAGCCTTGCATCACACAGTGTCTTTCATTACTCAACCCTAATTCAACTCCAGAGAAAACCAAGTCATGCCTGACTGAGGCAGGGGTCCTGCAGAAAAAATAAAAGCTGAGTATACAACTAAAGAGCACATCATCATGCACACATGCAAAAGCACTGAGTTAAAAGCTTCAGAGACAACCTTACTCCTGACATTTGCTATTTTGAGGGAATTTCATGTCTCAGAAGACAAAGGTTTTGTGTGTAACATACATATGGATGTAGAACACCACTACCGTACACAACTGCTTCAGAAGAGAATTCTCCAAGCAGGTCTCCAGCCTTCCAAAAAGAAATAATGCTGTGCATCCAGGAATTATCTTATTAAAGTCAATAGGACGAATGAGGGCAGAGAAGTCTAGAGGTCTATCCTATAATTAAATATTATTTGCAACACAAATATACCAATATGAATGAAGTCACACATAGAACTTAATTCATCCTCAAAGAAATAAATGACAAAGCTCCCTCATAGAGAGCAAAACCAGATTTTTAATGGGTATTATCCAACACAATTTTTGGCTAGTAAAGAAAGAGGTATACCTTAAGACTTACACTAGAATATAGACAATCACCAGAGAGTTAGAGAATTATTTCCTTGAGTCTGGTAAAAATGTTTTTAAGAAAGTGACTGAAAAATCGAAATAAAGATTTCCGAGAATCTATATGACTTCTTAAAAAATGATTTTAGATTTCATAAAGGCACATGTAAAAATATAAATAAACGGACTGATAACTTGCTCATGTTGGTAAATTTTAGATTTGAGTGGAAAAAGCTGCATCCTGGTATACTGAGGGCAACGTCATAGCCTCACCCATTGTAGGGGACACCAGAAGAGCAGGAGTTTCCTTTGTTTCCATGGCATCTTGGAGAAACTTAAGTCCCCAAAACAGCAGTGCCACTCATGTAGCCCCTCAATCTAACCCAGATCAGCCACTAAGGAGTTAGTGGAGTCCCACATACTGATTTGTCAGGCAAGTCAAGATGCATGACTCCCAAACCTTCAAACAGCTCTGTGCCACAGAAGCAGAAGTGAAGATGCAGACTTTAACTGTTTGCCAGGTGGCTTGGTGACTTCTGCTACTCTGTACAATAAGTGGCAAACACTACTGGCAGCAGTGGATATACTATTTACGTATCTACATGTACCTTTTCCTTCCATCTCACTTTCAATACGATGACTAGCCTGACTTTGTAAAACGGTCTCGCAAACCCCACAAAGTGAAAGGGAGGGAGAAAAAGTACTTCAAAAAAACAGCATTTTTATCTCCAAACAGTTCAATGATTTTGGTGAAAATAAGCCTGACACACATCAGAGCTAGGGGTCAGATATTCACTCAGTGCTTATCAGCAGCGTACTCAAAACTGAGCTGTGCTGCTAAGGCATGAGCCACGTTCCTCCTGAGACAGAAAGGACAGGGTGAGGAGGGGTGCTAGAGGGCAGGACCTGTGAGCCAGGCTCTATCTCTTGTTTCCTGTCGAGCATGGGAAGATGGAGACTAAATTCTCTAGGGGGTGGGATACAGAGGTTTCCTCTACCTGCTTTTGCTGTCATCTCTCCAGGGCTGCGCCATGGGTGGAGTGAGTGGTGGAGTTCTGACCTTGTAGGGCAGAGGTAGCCACGTGTCCCTACCACAACCAAATCAAGCAACATTCTCACACATGTAGATGAGTCATGGGTCACTTTGTTTTCTTACCTGCAGAGTAGAGATCACTTCATCTCCAACTTCCTTGGTGGAAACAAGGTAACGGGACATTTCAGGGTTAATGATTCGGTCTTCTTTTTCCCAACGGACTATGATGGGTTTCTCTCCATGTGCCGTGCAGCTCATTTCCTTCTTTTGACCTTGTGTTGCCAAGGTGGTATTTGGATAGGAGGTTATCATAGCTGGAACTAAAACCAGACAAAACAAAAAGAGATCATTCTTCAGTGAGTTGACTAGTCTGATGATGCAGGGTTGGCCCTTCAATCTGGGTCTCATTCAGCTCGTTTGTATTTGACCAGGTGGCAAAAAATGTAAGAAATTATTTTACTTTCATGTCTGTGTAAGAGAATTTTCTTAAGATTGAAGATAGGCCTCAAAGGGAGCTTAGCAGAGAGAAGGTGGGACTGGACAGTGGGGCTGTAGAGACAGGAAGATGCAAATCCAAAGGAAGCCTGGCTCCATTTGTTTTGCTGCTCACAGGACAACTTGTAACATAATTAAAATATTCACAGTACATAAAGGTACTGTAAGTAATAAGCATTCAGATATAGCACCAATAAAGAACTAATAAAAATATCTTATTCCTTCTGATGAGCTACTCTCTTATTTGCTGACAGATATATGCTCTACCATTTTATATGACAGTAATGACCTATCAAAATGAGGGCTCAATTAAACCAGAAGCTGTACAAAATTAAAAGAAAGGCTCTGCACCAAAGAGCTTACAGTCCACGTATGTGTTGAGTGCATAGTTAAACTGTACTGAACTCAAAGTATAATTAAACTGACAATAAAACTAGCTAGATTTGAGTTTTTATTGTATTCAGAATGTATTTGCAGAACTGTTTGGAGATAATTTTCAACTTCATTAATCATTCAGGTCTTCAAAAAATTTTAACGTTGAAAAAAGTACTCTCTTGCTAGCAAGAATAGGCTTAAACTCCAAGTGCTTTCACATTTTGGGATAAAAATCTTCTGGAAAAGGAAGAAAAAGTCCTCAGAGTGTTTTATTGCAAACTCCTCAAATCCTGTTGTTTTTGAAACAGGATGGTCTCTTTGGTGTCCTCAGCAGCCTGTCCTTTCCTTCCCACATGATTTGTCCACTAATGAATAGCATCTGGGCATTTATGAGTAGGAAGAATCAAAGCCCATGAGTCTGTCTTGCAGTTCTGGCCTTCTTCCTGCTCAGAAGAAGCTGGAAAGCCCTGGACAGCATGCAGTACTGCTCTCTTCCGAGTGAATCTGTCCACTTCTTTCAAAGTATATAAGGTTGCAGTAAAGAGTCCCTCCTCTAAGCTCTTGCACTCCAGGGCTGCCTCCTGTAATAGTCCCACTCTCCTTGTTTTTACGCATGAACACTTGTCTCTTCTTATCAGAACACCTCAGTCATTCCATCTGAACTTCTCTGGGTCTCTTTTTTAAGATGACATTGGACTGGGACCTGATTTGAGGCTTTCCTGGTCTTCTCTCTTGCATAGGTTGCATCTATTGCTACCAGACAGCAAAAAAAAAAGAAAAAAAAAAAAAGTAATCCTATTTAAATGAATTACTATAACTGCTATTCTGAAATGTTAATGCTTCATGGCACGACCTTTTCACATGCCAGAGTTGTTGGTGCTTGGATATGACAATATGTCAAGATGCAGCCCTTTTTGTTTGAAGGCTTCCTGAACCAAAACAAACCGATTTGAAAATTAACAGGGCCGTGGAGCTGTGAGTTAGAGTTATGAATGGGATCTAATTACAGGAAGACCTCTTAGAAAGGTCTCATGCAAGACATGAGGCTCTTTAGGCACTGATACGTATTAGTGATGAAGTATGTCGTTTAACTGTTTGGATACTAAGTATCGACTAGTTTTGTCAAGGAGGAGCATTCAAATAGAAGAAATGATGAATAATCAGAACAGAAAATTACGACAAGTCTGATTCTGTCTTCCAGAGAATGAAAATATCTTCATTTTTATCTAGTGTCTGTTCAAGTACTAGTACCCACAAGGAGGTTACTTTCAGAAGGTCACTTTTTGTGGCCATCTGCTTGTTGCTTCCAAAGACAGAAGCTAGCGTACCAGGCCTGTGCAACTGCAGGCCCGTGGGCTGTGTATGCGCAGGTACGTGCACTTGAATGGATCTGCCCTCATCTGCAACACCTGAAATAGACCAATATATCCTTTTATGCATTTTGTTCATCAACAAGAGACTCAACTCAAATGAGTAAGGAGTCCACATTACCATCATTAGCTTGTGCCACCACCTTTCTTCCTTCCATAATCTTCCAAGCCTCCTACATGTCCCTTCCTTCATCATTTGATGCAAAACTCCACATCTCTGTCTTTTTACCTCGATGCAATACACTCCGGTCCCCTTCACCTCTCCCTCTCCTCTTCCTGCTGCAACTTCCTCAAGTTCTCATGTTCCCTAAGCCCTACAGCAATGTTTTCCTCCTCCAGCCTCACTTCCCATCCCTAATTAAATCATGCTGACCTCCCAAGTCACGTAAGTGATTTTCTCTACAGTTGCAGTCCTCCTTCTCATCAGTATCTCCTACTTCAAGTTTCTCTGGTGACAGAGGGAGCATGTATTTAGCCCACCCGTGAGCTGAGGGGTGGTGTGTGCTTCCCCATGAGGTACCTGAGCTCCTGGGATGCCTCTGTCCCCAGGTGGGAGGTCTCTGTGTTTCGAGCAGGTGAGTCTTGCACTGGCAGGTCTACCCTCCTCCTGCTTCACAGGTAGGCGTACAGAGTGCGTACCCACAGAAAATGGGACTTTCAGATTTGGATTTAAATCCCACGGATCTCAAAGAGTCTGTCTCAGAGACGCCCTTCTCCCTTTCAGGTCTCCTAAAAAGTTGTCTACAAAGAGTCCCTGATAGCTGACAGTACCAAACCAAACACCGTGACTATCTTGCTTCCTTTTTAAAAACCAGAAGCTAGCTTATGAAGCTCAATTTTTTTCCCAACAAACTTTCTTAATAAGAGCAGCATAAAAACATGTAAAGAAAGACGACTTTATTCCTCAGATACCGCTTTATCCCTGCTTATCCTTCCCTTCCTCTCACATAATCTTCCACACGGATTCCTTATTGCCATAGCAATACCTCACAGCTAAGTATTTCCCTTTCCTCCAAAGCTGATTTTTTACTCTTCACAATTTATCTCCAATGATCCTAAACTATAAGCTCTTCTTTTTATCTTCCTCTGTGTCAAAAGATTTCTGATCACAAAGCCGCATTCCCAAGGATATTTTAGGCAAAGTATTTCTTCATCCTCCAACTGTCTTTAATCAAATTAGTGATGCAAATAACTGAGATAAATATGCTTGCTCTTTACTGACAAAATAATCTAGAAAACTGTAAATAAGCAAACTAAATCTGTACTATATATGCATGAGATATTATTTCAGGACGTCTTAAAAAAATGAAGGCATTTAGAAATATATCGAGATAATTCAAATGCCATATTAAGTGTGTGTGTCCTTTGTATCTCTTCAAATATACATGATATATACACACATATAATGATACGTATTTAGGTAAGAGAATTTTGGAAGGGAAGGACATGTTTCTGTGCGTGGTCAAGGAATGCATGGCGTGGTGTTCCAGGATTTTGGAGTAGGCTTCCCTATGGGACAAATTAATCCAGTTCTCTCTCCTCCGGGTTTCTCCATGTCTTTTTCTGAAGCACGCCATGTGATACTGGACATTGTTAAAGGTCTATTGGTCAAAATTGGACAAAATAAAAGCCACAGTTTATAGATTGTGGCAATTTCCATTTTCAAGGTACAAATATTGCTGCCAGCAGCATTAATCTAGGATATTTGTCTGTTTAATCTTTCGGAAAGCTGATCTGTTTATTCCTTTTCCTAGGTCAACCCATTGTTTTCTCCTTTCTTTGGCAACCCAGGAAGGAGTAATCTCATTGCTTTATAGTACTAACAACTTCATCATTAAAAATCAAAGTGCAAAATTCAGTGTTCGAGGTTACTCTTAAGAATCATGGAACTGGCTCAGACAAAACAAGAACCGTGTGCCCCACTCTCAAAGAAAACTGAACCTGGACCTTTCCTGAGATTCAATAAAAATTAGTTAATCTGACTTTCTTTTCTCTGTGACTGCCCGAGTGTTTCATCAGGAACTGAATGGAAATAAAAATGAAAACATTTAATTACCTTGACAAAGACTAGTCTCATTATCCAGAATAAGGAGGTTATTGTAAGGTAAGTGAAGCTTCAGCAAAATAACAGAAACTTTTGAATCCTTTCAGAATAAACTTTCACAAATAACTAGAAAATCAAAATTCACATTCATTTTAAAAATTATGTAGGGAGTGGGGTGGGGGGATAACTGTTTTTTCTCTCTTTTAGCTCATAGACGGAAATAGCCATGTGGGGAGAAGGCAAATTAAAGAGCTCCCTATCTTTTAATTTGTAATTAAACAATAAATATCCTTGTAGCATCCTTAAATGATTCTAAGACTGACTGAAGTTCTCAGTATGTTTAAGAACTATATCTATTTGTAGCCTCCAAATGGTATTTTTCTAGCAACCTGCCTATGGTGAGAAGAGAGGAATATAACACAGCCAACACCACAATCAATGGGGAGATGCCGTGTGACACTGTTCAATGTGTTTTGAGCTGTATTGAAAGACAGATTCTTGATCATAGCCAAAGATAAATGCAGATTCAAGTTGCTCTTGAGAAAGAGGATGGAAAAGATGCAGTGGATAAACAAGTCTCCTGACACAATGACCTAGAAATAATTGAACACAGTGAGAATTTAAGAGTCTGCTCGGTAAGAGACATATCCTGGACTCTGTCAATGATGTGACTCCTGACATATCAACTTGTCTCACCATGTCTCCACTTCTCTTGGTCTGAAGATCTCTGCTCCGGCAGAGTGTCATCCCATATAATTTGGCTCTTTCACTGGAGCATGGTCGAACTGGCCGGTTTGGGAATATCTGTTCCCGTAGTGGGATTCATCTTGCAAGCATCTATGCCAAGCTAGGCATCATAGACTTCCTCGATGGAAAGAAAGACACTTATAGAGTGCTGTTCATCTAACCAGATGAACTATGCCCTCAAAAGCCTCTTCTTTCACTGATCATTCAGGAACCTGCAATGCCTTGCTCAGTTGCAGAGATGTGCACATCAGTGCTGTAATGAGGGAAGATGAATGCCATCTGTTTTTCT